GGAGATCTCGAGGCAGGAGTGCCTGATTTTGGGTGATAAATTTCCTCAGAGCTTTCTTACAAGATCCAAATCTTATCTGCAGGGCCCAGGCGCTGGTGCTGCCCTCAGAGCAGAGGGGGTGGCACGAGGGGCTGGGGGTGCCTGCTGCTGCTGGGCTGGGCACACTGCTGAGCTCAGATGTCACCCAGGTTAAGAATTAATTTTTCCTCATGGCTGGATTTAGAAATCCCCCAGCTGGAGCCAAACTTCCCTCTCTGGGTTGCCAGCTCTTTGCTGTTTAGAAAAGGAGAGATTTTTGGTTTCAATCCCCAAAGGTTGGTTGGTTGGTTGAACATGAGCTGGTGGCAAAAGGCATCCCTAAATTCAGCTGGGCTGCCTGCCTGGAGGGGAGCTCACTTCTGAAGGGCATCAAGGGGGATTTGGGGCATTTAACAGGGCAGCTCAGGGGTACTCCCTGAGAGGGACCAATGTGCCCAGGGCCTGTTGGATATCCAGGATATCCAGATCTCACAAATCTCATCCCAGTTCAGCACTGAGTGTCAGGACAGAGAACTGTTCTGCCTTCCCAAAATGCAAGATGGGCAAAGCAAATGCTCCTTGTGTTGGACCCAGCTGCCATTCAGGCACTCTCTCCTGTGCTCTATCCCTGTTGTTTTTTCTGTTGCCATCATTCTCTCTTCACTCTTGTTTCCAGCCCTGCTTGTAACAGATGTAGCCTTTTCTGCACTGGCTGCTCCCAGAGCAGTGACCTGTAAAAAATATGTATTTCTATTTTCTCAGCAGAGCAAATACAGAGCTGAGCATCACAGGCAGGGCCCAGTGCTTCAGGAGCCCCCAGCTGCTCCATGGGATGAGGTTTATGGGGTGCAGAGCTCAGCTTGGATCCCCATGGAAGCCAGGGCTGAGCTCCTGTCAGCCAAGGCAGGGAAAGCTGACCCTGAGAGCAGAGTGACCCCACAGCTGTTGGGCTTTATCTGATTGCTGAGCACTTGTCTATCAGAAAGTTCTTTATCAGGGCCGTGCCTGCACAGATAGTGCCTTGCCTTTGGGCCTCCCTGATAAGCAGCAGGCCTGGGGGTGCCCCTGCACCCATGGGAGTCCATCTGTCCATCTGTCCACCTGTCAGGAGCACAGGCTGCAAAGCAAACAGTCTGAGGAGCGGCCTGACCCTGCTGGGCCCCACTGCTGCTCTGCACCAGGCTGCTCCCTCAGCAGAGAAGGGTTGTGTCCAAAGGATTGGCTGAAACACCCCTGAGGAGCCCCTCTGGGATTTCCTTTGCCCTGGCCAGCAGAGATGATGTCCTTGTGCCCTCCTGCAGTGCCATCCCCATTTAGTGATGTTCTAAATGAGTGATTGCTCCTGAGCCAGCTGGGAGATACAACAGCCCTGAAAGTTACTGCTAAGGAGCAGCTCCACACTTCAGAGTTTATTGGAGTTTAGGCTACTCCCAGATTTTCCAGGTAGATTTTTTTTCTCAGGGGTCTGGGTGCACAGTGTCAAGGCAGCCTTCTCCCCTCTCCCCAAATGAATGCCTTACAAAAATGCAAAGCAAGAGCTTTGCAGGGTAAGAAATCTGCTTTGCATGTGATTTGAAAATAATGGCAGCACTTCAGTGCAGGGGCTGTAAGCAAGGCTCCAGGAGCAAACTGTGCTCCCAAATACCTGCTCCTCATTTATTTGCTTCTTTCTGTTGGGATATTTTGTACTTCTGTTGGGATATTTAATCTTTCAGTTTGCATACACAGGATCCAGGCAGGAAGAACATTATCCTATGAATCTTTCTCACAGTTTATAGAAGGCAAATTTGAGGTAGCTGACCTTGGGATGGGGACTGAGCTCTCCTTTGTGGATTTAAAATATTTAACTTAAAATCCTCTTGAACAAGTTTCTCTTGAACTCTGATAGTCATGCCATGGCACATTTCAAGGTTAGTGTTCCAATACGGTTTAGCTCATGTGCTGTTCTCTGTTTAAGAAAAGAAAGTTTGTGTAACTTTCAGCAGTTTGTGGCCTCTAGGCCAAGATGAGATTTTTTAAAATTAGAGCTGTGTATTTTCATTGTATGCCTTGAGTGGTTCCAGACAGTGCTCCTTGGGAATCCCATGGCACTCCACAAAGGGAATGCTTCATTTGGCTCCTGCACATCCCAGCCTGGCTCAGATCCAGGACTCCAATCCCTCCCCTGTTTGTAGGAAGGTGGAAAACTCTTGATTTGCCAAGCACAGCGGGGTGTGGGCACCAGCAGAGTGCAGCAGGGCAGGAGATGGGCACTCAGGGCAGGAGATGGGCACAGGCTCAGGGCAGGAGGTGGGCACTCAGGGCAGGAGATGGGCACTCAGGGCAGGAGGTGGGCACTCAGGGCAGGAGATGGGATGGGCATTCAGGGCAGGAGATGGGCACTCAGGGCAGGAGATGGGATGGGCACTCAGGGCAGGAGATGGGCACAGGCTCAGGGCAGGAGATGGGCACTCAGGGCAGGAGATGGGCACTCAGGGCAGGAGATGAGATGGGCATTCCGGGCAGGAAATGGGCACAG